CCCCCCCCCTTAATAAAAGCGTTATAACAAAACATAATATCAGAGACAAAAAAAACAACCCAACCCAATAAAAACAACAACAAAACCCCGACTAGATATTTTGAAATTATAAAAATGTATTTTAAAAAGACGACCCACTAAAACGGAAATAACCCATTCATCTTTGAACCAGTTTTAATAAAACTTCGCAGAAATAACATTCAACCATGAGGACGTTACATTTGTCAATATGCGAAAAAAATATCTATTTGTTTGAAAAATATCATGTAGTAAAGAATTTCAACCAGAATTGACTGAAATGGAAAACTTAGCTAAGTTTTAAAATCAATCATAATTTCAAAAAGCCACTATTTGCGCATTGGGGAACAAATTAATACAAAATTGATATTATTAAATAAACTCAAGGAAGGTGTTCGCTGTATAAATCTCAAGGTATGGACCACTTTTATTATCCATTTGTGGTGGCCGAATTTTGCTATCCAAAAGGCTTTTTAATGGCTGCATCGATCGACATGCGGTTTTAGCCAAAAGATTCTTTTCAATATTCTCCAGATCATGACGCCCTTCGTTTTTTTCAGTTTTGAGACAGTTTTGCTGCAAAAGCTAAATTTCTTTATTTCGCCGATCGCTTTTGTAGGCCTACGCTTCTGTCTCTGTAATTTTACAAAATCTGACAGGTTTGTTTATTTCAAGTCGTAGATTCTACTTCCGTTCGATACTATCGCGCATTGTCGCTTAATACTGAGCACTATTTTAAGTGAGCGACCCGTATAAATATAGCCTCATGTTTTCTTTTTTAACTTGGTGCTAAATTCGACTGTGATTCTTCCGTTTGATGCCCATCATCGCTTTTTCTGGACTCCTTTGTCAAATTCAGTTGATGTTAATGCACCTATCATTCCTTTCATAGCAAGGGGACCCAGCAAGTCTTTCTATATAGACAAGCTCCAATACGCTACTGTTTCTGGTTCGATTCTTTGGACGTCCTGTTCAACATTGATTTTTAACTGTGGGTGGTTGGCGGGTGCTCTAGTGGGATTTGCTCCTTCTTTCCTATCAAACATCTATCGTCCTTATCTCCCCTCCTTCTATTTTAATATGATTGTTACTCTCTTGTAACAACTCTAATTTTCGGCACTTATATGGCCGTATTGAGTTGCAAGTGCCGTAAAACTCTTACAAAAAACTAAAACTGTTCGATTGGTTGCGGGTTGTTTCCGTATCCTCTGTCGGTCAAAAAAACCCAAACAAAACAACTCAAAGATAATTATTGAAGGGGTTCAAGTTGGGGGAAATGTGGTAACCACTCAATTTATACATTTTCGGTTTATAAAGCGTTCCCCAAACCTTTCTTGCAAACATACCAGGAAACTTCTGGATGTGTGGTTTGTGGTCCTATCCCCATTGGAAACAGGCCGGTACAACATAACACATTTCTCTTGAAACGTCTACAAAACTTTCTCGGCACGTTTAGATATAATCTATCTGAGATGACTGCTGTGCTTTTACCGTTCTTGACCTAAAACCAGAACGGGGCCGATTACGCTCCTGTATCTGAACGCTTATAAGAAGTAAAACGTTGCATTATACCCCGAGTTAGTTGAATTTAAAAAAAAATTGATATTGCTGAAATACTTTAATTGATTTTCCTTCATACTTACAAACCTGACGCCCTCATGGTTGAATTTTATTTGTTTGAATTTTTGTGGAAATTAGTGTGGACATAACTAAGTTTTTTACCTTTAAGTTTTTTACCTTTAAGTTTTTTACCTTTAAATTTTTCACCTTTAAGTTTTTTACCTTTAAGTGGGTCCACTTTTTCCCGACACCCTGCAAAAAAAGTCACGATTATCGCCTGAGTACAACAACCCTGTAGCCCACACTCTCTCAAAAAACACCTTTTTAGTTGGGGTTGTTTTGTTTTTTACTAAATGTAACGCTACGGATTTTGTGCCAAGTATTTAGACATTTAGCTCAATAAACTTCGCCAGTGAAACATTCAGACTTAAATTTTTAACAAATTTTGTTAGAAGAATTGGGAAAGTTTTTTCCTTCTCCTCTAACATTTTGTTTTTGTGGGATACAAGGTTGTTGTACTCGGGCGGCGAGATATATTACAAAAAGAGTCATAAGACAACAGTGAAATGGTTATAACTTTCTATTTCTCTCAACAGAACAGTAAATACTAGAAATATAATAATTTAGAGATACGTTTTAGAAATGCTGCCTTCGACGTGAAGTCTGCGAAGGAGAATATTATGGAGAACTTGGAAGATTCCAAACAGCTGTGATTCCTTTTCTGATACTTCTGCTCATAAAAAGTATCTGATATCTTGGCGGTGAACATGACATTCTGCGGAATACTTCTTACATTCGAACTTGATCGGATATTATCGAAGGTCTCGTATACGAGGTAGGTAATAGTGTATGTCCAGTGGTTGCCAATTATTGCTTTTGATGTTTCTTTTGCTGCAGTTGCTGCTTTTTATGTTTCGCTGCTGTTGCTGTTGTTGCTGTTGCTGTTGCTGTTGTTGCTGTTGTTGTTGCTGATGCTACTGATGCTGCTGCTACTGTTATTTGCATTGCTGTTATTGCTGTTGCTATTGTATTACTGTTGTTTGTCCTGTTTCTTATTGCTGTTGATGCTGCTGCTACTGCTCTTTCTGTTGCTGTTTTTGCTGTTGCTGTGTGTGTGTGTGTGGTAGCCTATCCGTTCGAAATGTTCGGAGCCCCGAAGAGTGTGCCCTTCGCCAGGGCCACCGCCTCCCTTGTTGCTGTTGCTACGGTTGATGCTACTGCTGTTTTTATTTTACTACTGTTATCTTCCCCGTTGGTTATTGCCATTTCTGACGATACTGCTATGTTTCTGTTGTTGCTCTTGCTGTTCTTTGTATTTTTGCTGTTTATTTTTCCTGTTGCTGTTATTTTTTCCACTTGCTGTTGCTGTCATTTTTTGTTATTGTTGTTATTATTGATCAGAGGGATTTCCCATGTGAGTGCAGCTCATTAACGGATATGGGTTCTCTTGGGTGGTTGGCAGGTGCTCTGGTGTGGTTTAATTGTTCCTTCTCTCCTATCAAAAAAGTGTTGTCCTTATCTCTCCTCCTATTTTTTTTTGTATGTTACCCTCTTAGTTACACCTTTCATCTTCGACACTTATAAAATAATGACCTATCTGTGTTGCAAGTGCTGTAAAACGTTTACTTTTTTAAAAGGCTAGAATTGAACGCCTTTGTTCCACACAGTGTAGAAATCAGTGACTGGAGTGTAGCAGTTTGGCCCTTCGCCCCTTGCATGCCTCAGATCTGAGTTCGAATCCCGTGGTGGGGAGAGTTTTTATCTTGTCTTTCTGCTGGACCATAGAATGCTGATTTATTTTCAGCGCAGATTTGACGTTTCAACCCTATCCGTACGCCCTGGGGTCATTTTGTACTCCCGGAGTTGTGTTTTTCACATTTAAGAATACTTTTAGTACGAAGATCTCTTTGAAACTTTCAGTATTTCTCAAAAATCATTTTTACCGACTGCTCTGCAAAGCGTACGGATCGGATTAACGAGTAAATTAATTCTCTTTGGAAAGTGATTTTACAGAGTTCTCAACGTCGTATAGATATGATAGTAAAACACGACGTACGGATAGGGTTAACAAGCAGGGTTGAAGTCCACCTTCTAAATAATCGAACTTGTGTCCGTGGGGTAAAAAAAACAACAACCTCACATTCATAACACCCCTTCCTTCCAGAAAAAAGAAAGAAAAAACAGAAAAAGTGTTACAGACAGTGTGGGTGGTCTCTCAAGGAGAAAGCAAGAATGCTTTTCTGATAACATAATACCACAATTTGAGGTATCTATTTCGCCGTTATACCAAACAGAACCGAAAGTGCTCTACTAGACCAAAACACTAGGCCGGATGAGGACGAACAAAGCAGTATTAATTTATTTTTTTAAAAACACGCTTTCTTATGGAGAAAGAAATGACACTGCTTGGATTGAGTGAGGCATCGTGATGAAATCATACGCTCGTTAAAAGAAGGAAAACAAAAAAACCGGCACCTCCTTGGATCGAAAATATTTATCTGGGTTTATGGCTATGTTATGCATCGAAAATGTGGCTACAGAGTTGTGGTTCATAAGACGCATGCTACGTATCCCATGGACAGCTAGAAAAACAAAAGAAAAAAGTCTTGGTTGAACCAAATTGTAGAAGACAGCTTATGACGAATGTAAGAAAGCGACATGCAAATTTCTTCGGACACACAATGCGGAAAGAAGCATTGGAGAATATTTTAACAACAGGCAAGTTTGATGGAAAGAGAGGCAGGGGCAGACAGAGGGAAAAGATACTGGACAAGATGACAACATGACTATAGAAGCAGCAAGAACAACATACACCATTGCTGACGCAAGACAGAGTGAAGTGGAGGTCCATGATCGCCCACGCCAGTCGGCAAGGCACCGGATGATGATGCATCGAATACAGGAAAAATGAACAATCTTTTAAAGATAATACCAATAACTTCATAGTAATGCCCAAAAATATATTGACAAGCATCTTATTTCACCGGCTCGGTGTACACATATTGCATTATGTGATTACATTACATTATTTCAAATGTTATTTGGACCTTTCTTTGATTTCTCTCCTATCTATCTATCTATCTATATATCTATCTGTCTATCTATCTATCTATCTATCTATCTATCTATCTATCTATCTATCTATCTATCTATCTAT